TTGAAGTCCTTTGCTAAAAAAAATAAAATTGTATAGCCCAAGAAACAAGATGTAAACAATAGATTTAGACTTAAAACCATCAAACTCCAAAATCATCAGCTTTCTCCCTGTTATGAGCAATATATTAAACTACTCCATGAACGATGCGCTCTAAAATTATTGGAGGAATTTATGCCGTAATAATTATGTAGATTGCAGGAGATTTGGGGCATTGCAACTGCTTGGAACAGTGAGAGTGGAGTATGCTCTATGTCACTGCCCACACTGTTTACACATATAAAGGTAGTAGGTACTCAGATTGTTGTCTGCTCTAGTTAATGGATGCAGGTGGAAGGAAATGCAGAGGTCTGGGACACACTGAGACAAAGTCAGGAAGAGAGAATGTCCCCGATGTGACAGTAGAGAAAAGATGAAACCATGGTTTCACAGTAGCTGAAAAGATTGCTCTTCTTTTCATTAAGCAGTTACCCATATGAATATGTGCATGTATATGCGGCTGGCCTTCTGCATCTAAAGAGTCAACTAAGCGTGAGTCAAAAATATTTGACATAGAACTTTGTGCTGAGCACATGCAGGCTCTTTCTTGTCACCGTTCCAGAAACAATACGGTGTGACAGTGATTTGTCCCACCTTGACATTGCATTTCTTGGGGGTTCTAAGTGACCTGAGATGACTTAACGTACACAGGAACAATGTGCAAGGTTTAGTTGGGCCCTGATGTAGTGAGGGCCGTGCGGCTGCACTGACTTGCCAAAGACAAGGCGATAGTTACTGTAATGGGCAGCACAGACAAAGCCGTGTTTCTGATGGCCTGGCCCATAACGGGTGGCATAGGCACAGTGAGTTATGTGGACCTTTGGTACTGGCTAATCAGTCGTGGTATTTCCAGGTATGAAATAGATAAGAAGCCTACTGAATTGTTTGATCTGTATCAGTGGAAAAAATCTTAAGCAAATAAAGACTCCTTAGGGTCATGGCAAAGGGAATCTGGGTCTGCCAACCAATTTCCAGACTTGAGTCAGTGTGCAGACTCCTGGAATGAAGAGACTGCCAGGTTCCCCCAAGGTAGGGGGCACCTAAGAGTTTTATAGTTGGCCTTTCTCCAGTCTTTCTCCCTCCCCTAGAGACCTATGGACGTTTATAAGGGATGTTTATAAGGGGGAAAGGAAATAATCAAACTTTCTGGGGTCTTATGGACACTGGATTGGAACTGACACTAATTCTGGGGGACCCCTAGAAACACTGTGGCCCTCCAGTTAAAGTGGGGGCTTCTGGAAGTCAGTTGTTTAATGGAGTCTGGCTCGCAGTAGATCCAGGGTGTCCCAGAACTCATCCTGTGGTTATTTCCCTAGTTCCAGAATGTGTAGTTGGGAGAGATGTACTTAGAACTTGGCCAAATTCTTACATTGCTTCCATGACCTGTGACAGTATCATATCCCTGGAGGGACTGCAGAAATTAATGTCACCATTAAGGACTTGAAAGATACAGGGGTGCTGGCTCCCACCACATCTCCCTTTAACTCTGTCTTGCCAGTGCAGAAGACAGATAGATTGTGGAGAATGACAGTTGCCTACTAAAAATTCAATCATGCTGTGATTCCAACTGCAGCTGCTGTACCAGATGTGGTATCCTTACTTGAGCAATAATACATCTTCTGGTACATGGCATGAAGGTAGTGAACAACCAATTGCCTTTTTCTTGGTACCTGAGATGTCAGTAGCAGATAGAGATGTTGTGTGGAGCCTTCGCCAGGCCCTTTATAGGTAAATGGTAGAAGGAAACTTTGGGATTTTGGAGCAAGTCTCTGCCATCATTCAGAGAAAACTATTCTCTTTTTGACAGACAACTCTTGCACTGCTATTGGGCCTTGGTGGGAACTGAACATTTGACAGTGGGTCACCAAGTTACTCTGCAAGCTGAGCTGCCCAACATGAGCTGGTTGTTATCTGACCCGACAAGCCATAAGGCAGGATGTGCACTGCAGAGCCCCATTATCAAATGAAAGTGGTAAACACGTGACCAGGCTCTAGCATGTCCTGAAGGCACAAATAAGCTTCAGTAAGGAGGTGCCCAAGTTCCTATGGTTCTAATCCCATTACTTTGCCCTATGCAGCCTAGCATGCACCTGAGCCTCACTGGAGTGTGCCCTGAGATCAGTTGACTGAGGAAGAAAAGGATCTGCTCCACTAATGGTTCTGCATGCTAAGCAAGCACCACCCAGTGGACAGCTGCGGCATTTCAACTCCTTTTTGTGACACCCCTGAGAGACACCAGCAAAGAAAAATCTTCACGGTAGGCAGAACTTTGGGCAGTACACACGGCCATACATTTTGTTTGCAAAAGAAAAATGGTCAGATATGTGATTGTTCACTGATTCATGGCTGTAGCTAATGTGTTGAGTGGATGGTCAGGGACTTAGACATAGCCTGATTGGAAAACTGGTGAGAAGGACATCTGGGGAAGAAGTATTTGTGTAGATCTCTCCAGATGGACAAAGGATTCAAAGATACTCGTACCTCCTGTAAAAGGTCATCATATGGTGACTTAAGAAGGAGTTCAGTTATCAAATAGGGCAACATATTCTGTGGACAGTCAGCCTCTTTCTCGAGCCATCCCTGTCACTGAGCAGTGGGTACGTGAACAAAGTAACCAGGGTGGCAGCAATAGAAGATGTGCCTGGGGCTTGACAACATGGACTTCTACTCACCAGGGCTGAGTGCCAGATCTTCCAAGCGCAGAGACTACCACTGACCCAATATGGCATCATTCCCTGGGGTGACCAGCAAGCTATCCGGTGGAGGGCTGACTACACTGGAGTGCTTCCTCCATGGAAAGGAGAATGTTTTATCCTTACTGGAGTAGATACTGATGTTGGTTATGGATTGCCTTTCTTCCATATACCCCTTTTGCCAAAATCACCATCCATGTACTTACAGAATGCCTTATTCTCCATCATGGAATTCCACACAGTATTGCTTCTGACCCAGGAACGCACTTCCCAGCCAGGGAAGTGTGATAGTAGGCCCCCTGTCCTGAAGCAGCTGCCCTGACAGAAAGATGGAATGGCCTTTAGAAGACACAACTACAAAGTCAATTAGGTGGAGTAGCCTGAAGGGCTGGGCTAGAGTTCTCCACAGGGGTGTATGCTTTGACTCGGCTCCAGTTTGTGGAGTGTGTTCTCCTCTAGCGGGAATTCAGGGGTGCAGGAATCAAAGGGTAGAAAAAGGAAGGTTCCACTTACTGTCACCCCTAGTGGCTCACTAGGAACCTTTTTGCTTTCAGTCCCCATGACCTTAAGTTCTTCTGGCCTAGAAGTTTTGGTTCCAGGAGGGGCAGCACTTCTGCCAGGAGACAACAAACAATCCATTAGACTGAAACTCAGGGCTTCCCCTGGCCACTCTGGGCTTCGGATGCCCTTGAGCCAAAGGCATGACAGTGTTGGGAAGAGTGATTGATGAAGATTACCGTGGAGAAATTTGATTGCTTCTCCACAATGGAGGGAAGAAAACTTATGTCTGAAGTGTAAGACTTTAGGTATCTCTTGGTGCTACCAAGCCCGGCAATTAAAGTCAATGGGAAGCTACAGCCTAATCCAGGCAGGGAGACAAAGGACACAGACCCATCAGGAATGAAACTATGGATTATAATTGACATGCGTGTTTCTGTAATATTGTTAAGAATGTGTTTGTACAACTGTTTGTGTTTTCCTTCCTTCCTTTCTTATCAGGTACTGTAACATCAATTAAGAGATTACCAGTGATTATTATGTTTAAGTTTGAGATACTAAAAGAAAGTCCTTCAAGGGATATCATCAATTATTCTAAAATGTATAGTGCATTTGCAGTTGTATGAGGGATAGTTATATCACATTTCCTGTAATGATGGCATGGTTAAATATAGAATGTGCTTGTGCTTGTACGTGGGGTAGTTATATCAGGTTGGGTGTAATAATGACCTGGCTATTGTTTTCATTCGGGAATTAAGGATGACGTAAGGAGATATCATTGTGTGTCAAGTTGAGAAGGGGTTAGACTTGTGACGACTATTCTTGGTAGTCAACTTGATTACATCTGGAATTAATTAAAATCCAAGCAGGAGTGAGGGATTTTTTTTCTTAAATCATTTGAAGTAGGAAGACTCACTTTTAATCTGAGCCCCACCACCTGGTGGTAGCCTGCATAAGGAGATGGGGGAAGGAATTTTTTCCCTTTGTTCTTTACCCCCACCCCTGCTCCCTGCTCTTTCTGGCAAGTCCATTCCTTCACTGGCATCAGAGCCTACGTTTTCCAGGATTCTGGTGTACACTGAAGACCCGCTGAGACATCCAGCTTCATGGACTGAACAACTACTGGGTTCTGTCGGTAGACTTCCATAGAAGTTCTATTTCTGTGTGTGCCAGTGTGTATGTCTCTGTGTCTGTATGTGTTTCTCGTACGTTTTCCTTGGCTCTTTATTTTTCTCTTTGTTTGTTTGATTTTATTTGTCATTATTTTATTTTTTTCTTTAGATTTTTGTTGGTTTTCTAATGAAGGAGAGCAAGGAGAAGTATGGACTTCAGTGGGTGGGAAGGTGGGGAGGATCTGGGAGGAGTTGGGCCATTTGGAAGCATATACAGAATAGATTGTATGGAAAAATCTATTTTCAATTTAAAAATTAAAATTTAAGTATAATATGGTTTAAACAGGATGTAAGTAAGAAAAAAGAAAAAGGAATCCCATGTAAGAAAATTCAACCAGAATTTAGCCCTGAAAAAGTAATCTCAGAGGAATCATTTTTCTCTTGGCTTAGGAAGTTTCAGTCTTAAACATAATTTTAGAAACTTCTAAAATTTAGGCATTTCACAAAATGATATCCATTCTTTAATATTGCCTACATGCCCCTTTTTAATTTTCTACTCTGATTCTCTGCTTACATTGCAACATAGTAATATAGGCTCAAGCTTCAAAATGAGTTAAAACGTTAGAAAAAAATGACGTTCATAACCATCAGCACCACCATGTGAAGGTATAAGACTATTTTTATTATTGTGCGTTTATACAAAGAACATAAAACCATTTAGAGAGTAAATAAGAGTATAAACATAACAGAAATTAATGTGAAAATTAAAACATTATACTAACACAGAAATACTGATTGTGATAATTTGGGGTTCCACCTCAGCCATGTCAGGGTCCTTTGCTGGTGTCACAACAACAAGGTGGCAGGGTGCCAGAATCTACATAGATGCTACACTCCTCACAGTGCGGGAGGGTACGAGACTCATCAGTAACGGGTTTGGCCTGGATGATCTTTTCTTTAGTGTTCTTCCTTGATTCAATGCAGCTTTCGACATCTCCACGATTTGCGGATCTTAGAAAAGACACACACAAAAATGAGCTTGGAATTGTCCTTTCCAGTGAATTCTACAGTCATGAGTGCTGTATGGGAAAGTCCGGGGCTGAAGCCCATCACACATGTGACACCAGCCTTGGGGTGAAGCTCTCTGCTCCGTCCCTATCTTCCCCTCTCCTACAGTTGCTATGCATGTGAACCCAGGTTGCCCAGGTTCAAGCAAGGGAGAGTGACTTGCACCCCAGTGGCTGCTACAGGCCCATGAGACCTGGGAATGCTGAAGATGGTGCTAGAGTTGGCTGGGCTCAGCTCTTATGTCCACAATCTAAGTCCCGAGAAAGGGACACCATTACTGCTGACAGCCTGCCTCTCCCAAACTTCAGACATGTCTCGTCTGACTTCCATCCCTGTCAGCTGTCCTCCATGGAGTCTCTATTCTCTTGACCCATTTCACTTTTCCCACAGCCATTGACAATGAATCAGGGGACATGTGAGCTCCCCAGTGAGTGGGCAGAGGTCGCTATAGGAATTCTCTGTGTGAGTAGGAGACAGCTCATACCCAAGGCATCCTATGTGGATTCCCCAGGCTACCGTGTCAGAGAGGGAAAGGGTGCTCAGCCAGGGGCCTGTTAAACACCTGAAGGCACACTCCCTGGTGACGGAAATCAATGCTGGTACATGCGTGCTTTTGCACTTGGGCAAACACACACACACACACACACACACGCACGCACGCACACACGCAGTCCAGGCTGAGAACAGTGCACTTTTAAGTTCTCAGCTCCAAGTTAAAAGGAAGTTTCTGTGCCTATCTGCCCACATCCTCTCAAACCTGACAGTGGCCCTTGACTTTCCCTACAAGAAGCCACTGTAGTACGAAATGAGCCTGCTCCCGCAGAAGGCCCAGTGTCCCATTGCAGAGGTGTTTTCACTGCTCCTCATGGGACTTACATGACTTCCTTGTCTTTACAGATAAGACGATAAGCAAAAAATAACAGTATGAAGATAATAGCCAACAGGCTGCAGACAACGCTGAAAAGAATAGTTACACTCCACGCTGACATCTTCCACACCTGGAAGAGAAGATCGGGCAGAGGTGGCTTCACTCCCAAATTCAGCACCCACTTGGCCACTGCTGCCCCATGTCCCATCACCCAGTGAAGAAGAAAGGTACCAAACATGGATCTTCATGTGTGTAAGTAGAAGGAACTCTATCCAGGCAGCTCCACGCTGGCCTCAGGTGGGTAAGAGAGTTTATTTGTGGTTGAAAAGGGATTTGAGCCAGGAGGTAGTGGCACATGACTTTAATCCCAGCATTCGGGAGGCAGAAGCAGGCGGATCTCTGAGTTTAAGGTCAGCCTGGTCTACAGAGCTAGTTTCCAGGACAGGCTCCAAAGCTACACAGGGAAACCCTTTCTCAAAAAGCAAAAAAACAAAAAACAAAAAAACAAAAACAAAAAACCAAAACCAATAACAACAAAAGAGACTTGAGTGTAAAATTCAGATACCAGGAGCTGAGGGTGACAGGAGAAAGTAATTACTTCTCAGAGGCAGTGAAGGACCCTGAGCGAATGAAAAGCCTGCCCTGGAGCTTCCCACACCTTCCCAACTGTGCTTCCTGAGTCAGAACTTCCTCCACCAAGTACACTGGGCAGACCTATTTTAAGGACTGAAGGAATGACCCTTCAAAATGTTATTGCCCTAAACTGCTGAGAAAAAAGAACTATGTTAAAAGCAGGTTTTTTTGAGGGGTGGGAGACCCCCACAAACCAAGTAGGTTATTCTATCTCAGGGTTAAAAAGATTCTGAAGGTGTCCAGCCCAGCTCTTGCTGAGCCTGAAACAGGCTTGCTCAGACCATGAACCAGGTTTCTCAGGAGTTTCTTGTGCCTCATTCTGTCTTTTGGCAGGCTATGTGTCTCCCTGCTAAACACTTAACCCTCCCACCAAGTCCCCTTTTCCTGGACTTAGTGTAACAAATGAAACTGGGGAGCAGCAATTCCAGAGACTACAGAAAGCAATATGACTACAAAGCATACTTACCAAAGTTAAGATGTCTAGCACTGAATTAACGACAATTATTTAAAGCACGCGCACGCACGTGCGTGCACACACGTGAGCGCACACACCTCAAAATAGAAGGAAAAAGTTTCTGATAGAGGCTGCTTCAGAAACCTGCAGTTTCTCAAACCTCTGATTTGAGAAAAGGATCTAAACAACTCTCTTAGAGCAGTTCAGAGACTGACCAACGTGCTCCACCGAGAGAGGGCTAAGGTCTGCCAGGGCTGCTAGAAATTACCACCAGCTCCAAGCCAACCTCTGTGACATCAGCTTACAGCCCCCTTCATCACAATGCTGAATTCTGTCCCACCTCTAGGCAGATTTTAGCTTCAAGAAATATATTTTGTATCATTTAAAGTCTAACAGTTGAGAGTCTGCCAATCAGAACCTGGTCAACTGTTTCAATTATTTAAACAGAATCATGGATTGATGTTTTAAACACCCTTGACATTATAAGCTACAGGTGTTTGGCTGTGTCCACTTGTCCAGTGAAATGAGGTGAAGCTGTCCACTAGGATTCAAGCACACACTCAGCGACACCGGCAGGGTCTCACACCTCATGGTTAAATAGCCGCAAAACCAGAAAGTTAAAGAGAATCCCTATTTGAGTCAGGTTTCTATTGTATGATTCTTTTTCTTGTCAGTTTTTTCTCAGGCTTCATCTTTTTATAGTTTAAAATATAAGATAACCTAAGAGAAAGATCCATCCCTCCTACTGAGATTACTCTTGTTTGAGGCTTTGTTCAGAAGCCAGATTTCTTACCAGGAACAGAAGCATTTCTCTGATGAGCAAGTTCAATTTTCATCTGAATCAGATTAACTGAGTCCCTTCCTTTGAGCCTAACATTGTACCTGTCACCTAGGATCATAGATATCCCAGTATGCATCTTGACTGGAAGTAAAAATTATATGTAGTTTAAGAAATATGTGTGTGTGTGTGTGTGTGTAATTTTTAAATTATATTAAAAATTCCAAGACCATGTCTGAGACTCAAGGCAACCTATTAATTTTCAATCTGTAAAATTAAAAATATATTTAAACTGCATCTTTCCCACTTTCAGACTGGGCATCCAGGAGGTCACAACTCTGCAGCTAGCCCGCCCCTAACTCCAGGACAGATGGTAATGACCATTTTAGGGTCTTACTGCTGCCGGTGAGCCATGGTTCTCTATTTACCTATCTATGTGGGTGTGCTGGCTCTCTCTCCTGATTTCAACTCTCTAATTGACCTCTGTAGAGCTGTTGATTTTCAGTTTGTTCAGCTTCTTGTTGTGAGCATGGTGATGACTTACATTCTTCACATATTTGGAGGAGACACCTAAAGCCATAGATTCATTTCTACCCACCCTTCCCTTTTTTGGGATAGCTTCAGTTGGCCCATCTCCATCTGTGGATTCTTCCTTCTGCCTGTTCACACTTGAAATGGAGCTCGGCCGGTGACACTTTCATTTTATTGTAGTTTCCAACTCTGTAATCTCTACCAACCTCTTCATGGTAGTTTTCTTTTTATTAATATTCTTTATGATAACCCTATACTTTTTCTTAGTTCCTTAGACATGGCTTTCTTTGAACATATTTTAAAGTGGATGAATTAAATCTTTGTTTAAGTAGGGCTGAAGTCTGGGCCTTTTCAATTAGCATTTTGGTTGATTGCTCTGTCTTTTATGAGTTTTATTTTATCATGCTATATTGACATTTTGAAAACTAGATATTTTAAATGGTGTTTTTGAAAGCGAGTCTTCCATCTCCCAAGACTGCTGTTGCTGCTTGTCACAGTCTGGTAGCTTCTTGGGTGACTTTCCCCAACCGATTCTCTAACATCTGTGTCCTTTGTTGTGTATAGACACTGATTTGCCCAGAGGCAGTTAATAATTAGGCAAAGATTTCTTGAAATTCCTGGGAACAAGAACAACAACCAAATCTTCCAGTCTTTGCTGAGGGGTTCAGGGTACCTGTGGGCTACGCCTGCAACACTGAGCCAAACAGCTGGGAACTATGTCTCTGGCCTCTCCTCCTTGGGAAGAACCTCCAATATCCTCCAGATGCAGTGCCTTAGGGCAAGCTCATACTCTTCTAGGTGTGTTTCTAGTTCTCTCAGGCACACAGCTTTAAATGGTATACAGTCTTCTAGACTCCCAGGAATACGTCAGTGCTTTCCAAAACCATATAATTTGGGAATCTATGTGTCAGGTTCAAATGAAACTCCATTTTCCCAAATTTCCAAAAGACAGAATGTGGACAAATGGCTACCTGTGGTCCCTCGTAGAATATTAAAACCCTTGCTGGCCTCCAGGCTCCCTCGGGATCACAAGGACCTGTTACACATTTCAAAGTCAATGCTAGCATCCCAGCCCTTCTCACCTCCTCCCCTACCCTGACCTCCCCCAGCCCACAGCTACTCATGCTCCTTATGACTCTGCTGTTCTGTCTATGCTCACTCTGTTTTTCTCCGTCTCTCTACCTTCCTCCTTTCCCTCGCTCTGTTCTCCCATGTTCTCCCTCTCTCCCTGTTCCTGTTCCTCTTTCAGTTCTGCTCTTCTGCTTCTCTCCTGCCCAGGTCCAGTCTGTTGGCCATGTTCAGTCGACTTCTTTCTCCCTCTGCTCTGGATTCTTCAAGATGCTTCTGGCTGCTGCCTCTCTTACCTACAATAAAACCTTCTCCTTAATCGTAGCACAGAGTGGTCGTGTCATTAGTTTATATACTGGGAAAAACTGTCTCTCAGTTTTTCCTTTAGTTTTATTTTGTCAACCAGCTAGAATCATCTGAGAAGAGAGAACGCCAGTGGAGAAAGTGCCTCCATCACATTGGCCCGTAGGCAAGCCTGTAGGGGCATAATCTCGATTAATGATTGATGTGGGAGAACCCATCCCACTGTGGACTGCACCACCAATGGACATGTGGTTTTGGGCTTCATAAAAGAGCAAGCTGAATGAGCCATGGGAAACAAGTTAGTAAGAAGTTTTCTTCCGTGACCTCTGCTTCAGTTCCTGCCTCCAAGTTTCTGCCTTGAGTTCCTTCGTGACCTTCCCTTGATGGGTTCTAATCTATAAACTAAGGAAATGTTTTTCTCTCTCAAGTTGCCTTTAATCAATTTTTTATCACAGCAACAGAAAGCAAACTAGCACAGTAGCCAGGGTTTTTGTTGTTGTCAGGTTTATAGCACCAGGCATAAATTCCCTCTTGTGCAAGAGACCTCAACTCCAATGAGAAAGCAGTTGGTTATCTCCCTCCCTCCCAATAACGGTCATGCCACTATTGCTCCAGCAGACACTTCTTGCCTGGCAGGTTAGTATTGTAGTATACAGAGGTCATTGATCTCTTTCCTACCCCACAGGCCTACAAAACAGCTTCTGGAACTTGCAAGCTAACCAACAGGCGAAAAGTTTCCCTGTCAGTTTCAACTTGGTTTCTCTCTGTCCAGAAAACCAGAGCATCCAAATCATCTTCTCCTACTTCCAGTAAGTGGAGGCTTCAAGGTCTCAAGGGGGTGTTGACTATAACCAAGTTGGGGTGGGAGATTAGTTCCCTGTAGAGGGAACTCAGCTGCCTCCAGAAACGAAGGGGTCCCCATGATGATGATGATGGTGATGATGATGATGATAGTTATGGCTTCTGGCCATCAATGAAGACTGGCAATCAAAAATCTGAGTCACATAGGTGCTGTGAGGCCAGTGCTAAAGGTCCAAACACAAGGAGCTTGCCGATGTCAGTCAGCTAGAGCACAGAACCGTCCAGGTTGGTACTCTGCTAGTCTAGTTCTAGACCTTTAAATCTTAAACTCTGGTCCCAACCTCTGATCTACATTAGAACTATCACAGAAGCTTCCCAAAACCCAGTCCTAGACTGCATACTATACAGTTCGATCACAGTCTCCAGTTTTGAAGTTTTATTTTAAAAACAGCATACATTTCTCCATTTTGTACTGCCCTCACTATGCCATGCTAAGATCCTAGACTCCGTGTACTACAAAGTCTTGGAACTTCATAAGATCTGCTTTAATTGATTTCTCAGCACCTCTCTGTAAAAGGTGAAACCCAATTCAGTAGATAAGAAAGTTCAGAGAAACCACTCTCGGCACCAGGGCCACCAAATAACAGATGAAGGAAGGGGACAGAATCCCAGCATCCTGGCTCTGGGGCCCCTGTTCTTACCCCCACTTTAATGGTTCTCACTCTGTAGCTGCCAGAATCACCAAGAGGGCTCATCAAAGTCACATGCTGGACCATGTTGGGGTCCTTACTCCCTAATTTAAATAATATGGGTGGAGCCTGAAAATCTGCACAGGAAACAGATTCTCAAGTGACTCTGATGCTGCTGTTCCAGCCACCATACTTGGAGAACCAGGGTTCTACATGGCAGAAGAAGAAGTGGCTGACCTTCAGTCCAATGCAAAGAAGGCAAACTCACTGCCCTTCTGAGTCAGCAGAGCTATAAGAAGGCTCCACCCCTCCCCATATTTGATCTTTAAAGAGAAAGAGCAGAACTGTGGTAAGAGCAAAGCTCAGAGGAAGAAAACAATGCTCATTGGGCAAATTCTTGTGAACAAAGCCTGTGGTAGTTGCTTCATGCTAGGAATACCAAAACCAAAAAGAAAAACCTCACATAAAAGTTAAAAATACACTGTGATGGTCTTTTTACAGAAGAGAAAGCAAGGTCAGATTTCTGGTCCTAAGCTATAGGGCAGGGAGTAGCTGAAGGTTGGAGGAGCTCATCTTCCCTGGGCTGTGATACTGGCTCAAAGCCATCTTGGACATAGCTCCTCTGTGGGCATTGGGAAAGAATCTGACAGCATGGGCAGAAAATAGAAACCCTGGGCTGCTGAGTTCAGTGCAGGGCACTGGACAGTCCTTCAGGTTGAGCATACATATGGTGGGGAAGAAGGGAAAGCTGGAGTAGGCTTCTGGGATGAAGCCTACTTGATCATGGTGAACGATGTTTCTGATGTGTTCTTGGATTTGGTTTGCCAGTATTTTATTGAGTATTTTTCATCAATGTCCATGAAGGAGATTGATCTGTAATTCTCTTTCTTAGTTGTGTCTTTGTGGGGTTTGGGTATCAGAGTAACTGTAGCCTCATTAAAAGAGTTTGGCAATGTTCCTTCTATTTTTCCGTGTGGAACAATTTGAGGAGTATTGGTATTAGTTCTTTGAAATTCTGGTACAATTCTGTGCTGAAATCATCTGGTCCTGGGCTTTTTTTGGTTGGGGGGCTTTTGAT